TTAGAAAAAAGACATACAACCTTCTCTGAATTTCCTTTTCATCATTTTTTTTTAAAATCGATAGAAAAAATTTAAGGTTTAGTAAGCATAAAAAAGTAACGCTTTTACCCTTCTTTCCTTTCCTATCTCACTTTACTTACATACTTTTTTCTCTCTCTCTTTTTTCAGTCTGTTAATATCTATTCGTCCTTTTTAACTCTCAAAATAAATGCCCTAAATACTTCCCTTCTTCTTTGGCTATATTGTATAAAAGAAATTTTTTTTCCAAAGGAAATTCCTTAAAAAGGATAAAAAAGGGCCTATCAGCCTTTTTCTATGACCACGTCAGCTAAAAATCGCACATTAGAGATGACTTTTTTCAATTGATTCTTGATGATATGATTCTTTGCTTTGCATACTTTCTAAGAAGGTCAGATAATCTGTGGGAATTGTCAGTAAACTAGATAAAAAATATCCTTAAATTATTTAAAAAAACGGAATTTATCATCATTCATAGAAGTAAAAAGGGAATAGGTACCTGAAGAAATTTTTCTACATACTTCATTAGTAGACTAAATCAATATACTATATAGCTCCTTCTAGTCAGGAAACGGAAATATAGCTTTATACGGGTTAAAGGGACTTTTCTCCCCTTTTCTATATATAAGATTACGTTTACTTTTTTCTATTGTTGCATGCTAAGCATATTGATTAATATTTTAATAAAAGAAACTACAATTATTTTTTCTGAATTAAATAGAATAATCGAAAATGATATTCTAACTTATGTTTCTGCTTTCTTTCAGATAATCACTATATTTAAATAGCTCCATCCACAAATGAAGCAATACACAATAATCATTTGCATTCTAATTCGAACAATAACGGCAAATTGTCCGAGTTCCTGCCGCTGCAACGCGACGAACGCTATCTGCAAAAGTCTCTCGCGAATTCCAGATCTACCGCAATCTGTACTGCAATTGGAAAATTGCTTGCCAATCAGAAACGTCACCAATCTACCGCAATCTTTAAAGGCATACTCTTGACATATTATATACAGTATATATATATATATATATATATACAGCATCATTATTATATTTCATATGTAAATAAAACAGGAAAAAATAGAACATTGATACAATGTAAAGTAAAAAAAATCAAATCAAATATAACAATGCATTATAGCTAAGCCAAGAGTTTTCCTTTAAAGAGATTTAATGCTGCTCACAACCTCATCGAATCCCTATGCGTTAATCAATCAAAATTGGAAATGATTGATTTATCATTCAATCGCTTTGAATATTTAACGTTTCTTGGTTTTCTGCCATCCTTGAAAAGATTTGAAATTAACGACAATCAAATTAAAGAAGTGATGAAGGATGCTTTTACGGGAACGCCGATTTTACGGACTTTACGAATGAGTGATAACTCCATTACCTCCTTAAATCCTTGGATTTTTAAATTGAAAAGCCTAAAGTGATAATCTTAACCGCCATTCTTATATATAAGAAACTTTTTAAGAAATAGCAATTCATTTAATCATTTTTTTTCCTTTGTTCATTCTTTATTCATTCATCCATCCATTATCTCTCTCTCTCTCATTCTCTTTCGATTTCTAGTCGGCATTGATATAGCAATTATTGTAATTAACTTAATTGCCTAATTAAAATCACTTAAGACGTTAAATTTAGAGTCGAATGAGAAAAAAACTCATTAGGATGAATCACCTAGGTAAAGGTTTAAGAACAGTTCATTCACAGTCAGAATAGATATCACTTAATTTAAATATCTCTAATGATGATTCTTCACTATAGCTTAAATATTCCTTTGCTTTTTCTTGTATATCAAATGTAAAAATAGTCTTTTTCTCTTTCTTTCATTTCTCACTACTCAGTCAATCAGTCTCTATTTCTTTTTCTGTCATTCTTCGTCTAGGATTTTCCTTCTCCTTCTCTCTCTCTCCTTACTCCCATCCATTTATCCATCTCCTAACCTTTTTGTCTAATCAAGTTAATTTTAATATGATTTATTTAAAGCCATCTTTTTATATTATATACTCTTTATCTATCTCTTTTTATTTATAAAGGATAGATGGCGCTGAATAGTAGGAAGAAAGAAAAGCCAATCTTATTTATTTAATAAATTTATATGAGTGGTGGTTAATTATCACTTTATGTTTTTCTAAAAAAGGGCTTTGTACTTAAGCAATAATAATATATCGCATCTAAGTGATCGTCAGTTCATCAAACTAAAAAAACTTGCTATTCTCGACTTGTCGGGGAACAAAATGATAAAAATGTCATGGACATCTTTCTACAAATTAAACAATATTAATCTGATGTTACAAGACTGTGGCTTAAAAACTGTACCAACAAAATCTTTTCGAAGATTGCAATTGTCCAAACTTTTATCACTAGATGATAATTTATTTACCAACTTATCTGAGAAATCTTTCAGCAGCTTTAAAGTACTGCGCATTTCCGTCAGCTACTGTAAAAATTTGCAGTTCATCGACGATCTGGCTTTTTACAAACTAGATAGTTTGCAGACACTAGATTTGCATAATAACCTTAATTTGCAGTACATAAGTCCTAAAGCTTTTCATTTACTTAACAATCTGCAGGAATTGAATTTGCAGGAGAACTCTCTACTTTTTGTACCGTCCAGGCAAGAACTATATAAAGAGCACCGACATCTTATTAATCTCGTTACAAAAGTTACAAAAATAAGATGCTGATCATGAATAGAATTGATGAATAAGCATCTTCCTCAACTAGGTCCTTCAGCATTATTTGCAATACAAATGCTTGCAGGCCCTTATTCTCTATCGCTTAATTAACTACATAAATCAATGATACTTGATAATAATGATTTACAGAGATATCTAATGAATACTCCATATTATAGGAAATTCTAGAACTCTATTATATAGTTCTTGCTTTTTCAGGATAGGCGAATTGCCAAATCTTTTACGTTTGAAGGTTGAACATAATAAGCTTCTGTGTGACTGCAATAACAGATGGTTAAGACTCGCTTTAAGGGATAACAAGACTTATTTGAGAGGCACAAGGCCGAGGTGCTGGAAAAATAGAAACAGTTTTAGTTTCACTGAAATGAATTTGGAAATATCTGCAAAATGCAAACCTACAATAATACGATTTTTCAGTAACATCCTTCAGGTTTGTCATTTCATTAGTTTTATCATTTTTCTCTCTTCGTTCCTTTCTATATAGTAGTGTGTTTGTTTACAAACACTAAAAACAAACAGTAGTATAGATATTGCATGTTTAATGTATACTCTTAGAGAGTATTTACATTTTCGCCAGTCTTACTGATAGGTCCCAGAAAAAAAATAAAAATATATGCAAATTTAACTGTCCGCTCAATTGAATATATTCAGGAGAGGATTTTTTTGGAATTTCGTTGGAAAGAATAGTAATTTAGGTCAAGGGAATTCTTTACGAATATAATTATCATTCCTTTCTCATCTCTTTTATGACACGAAAGGAAAAACCAAAGTCTCAATAGATAAATAATTGACAACAAAAACTGTTTTCTTCCAGGTTGAAGAAGGAACAAAATTAATTCTCAACTGTAGAGCGATCGGTGATCCTTCGCCCACGATAGTTTGGCGTCTAGCGAATGGCAGAGTAATTAATGGAACATCGAATTATAGCCGTTTTTACATAACGGGAAAAGGGACATTAATCATTCATTCTGTCAGACCATCAGATACTGGACCGATAATATGTTCAGCCGAATCGATTATGGGAACAGATACGAAATCTACCCTTCTCAAAGTGCATAGTCCAGAAGCTACAATTTTACTACCCGCGATAAGCACAGACTTCCTGAAAATACAATGGAATGGCACTGCCGGAACCATATATTCCAGTGATTACAGGTTAAGTCTGTTCTATATGTATTTATCTTCAGTTAATAATGATTTTTGTTCCCAATTGCAGAATACAGTATAGGCCTTTTTCTTCTGAATACAATTATCCATACAAAACTGTTAAAATTCGTCCATATATGAATAGTTATACTCTGCACAATCTGCAACCTCAAACGTCATACGAAATTTGTTTAGTCATACAAACTGAGACAAGAACTAAAAAATTAAATTGCAAAATCACCTTGACGAAACCTCAAGAATATCAGAGTAGAGGGATATACACTGTTGATACTGTCAGTATTCTAGCAGCCATGATTGGATCAATCCTTGGATTGGTTATAGTAATAACGTTTCTCGTATGTGTAAAGCGATGGCATAGGAGGAAGCTTTATTCTACGACTATGGACGGTTCTATAACAAGCAGTATTATACCCTTGGAAAGGTTCAATTCAAAGAGCTCTCTTATAACAGCCACTTCTGTTGTTTCTAGTATACAAGCCACATGAAGGCGCCATCTACTGCATATTTTTTGTGTTACTTTCCCAAAAATATAAAAAGAAAAAAAGAACTGTCTAAAAGACTGCTAAATTTATATTATTCATTGAAAACGTTCAAGTATTCAATTACTCTTTTTTCACTTCTTTTTTCATTTATAAGAAAAATTCAAAAATGATAAAAACTTTAATTTTTCTATATATTTATTAAACTTTGTTCTTCTTGTTTAATTAAATTGTTTTTTCCTTCTTTCCTCCTCTTTTTTTATATGAAATTACATACAAAATATAAACAATACAGTGTAAAATATGTTAAAAACATTTCTTTCTTTTTGTACAAAAAAGACTTTTCACTGTATTGTGAATTTTCTTTTTTTTAACTTTTTCATTCATTTTTTTTATCTTTTACTATACAAATAAAAGTGCAGTATTTTTGCAGTACAGAGATCCCAGTTTTCTAATACTAAAACTGTCAACTAGGCAAAAAAGAAGTATCATATTCGAAAAGACTTCGTCTAACTCCAGCAACGTTTTGGTTCAATATTTCGGTTAAACTTTTAGCTTCTGATTGATTTTTGCTGACGATTTGGTTTTTGGTTGAAAGCTTGGCCTATACTTTCATTTGAAGTTTATTGCCAAATATTCTCTTCTAAAACCTGTAATATAATATTTAGATACACTTGTCAATTAGTATTAGAATAAAGACCTTTCTTTCTATACAAACCTGTGCAACCTTTTGTAAAGGACCACAAGCGCTGCTGCTGTTAGACGTAGCCTGCTGTAGACCTTGCATAAATAAAAAAAGAGAGAATAATTAATTGAACTTTTGAATATATAGAAAAGAGTATTGTTTAATCGTACCACTCCTTAAATCCGTATTTGAGAGAGTTGTTGCTTCACTAACAGCGGTATTAAATAACATTGGTGCTCTATTAAGGATTGGCGAAGTCATTGTTACCCCAACCGTTACTAATTGAGGTGGACTAGGCGGAGGTGATGGTGTTCCATTAGTTAGTTTACGAAGCATTTTATCTCTTTCCAACAATTGTTGCTTTAGAGATTGCATTCTATAATAAGAAAATAATATATTAAACAGATCAGAATACAAATAACACAACTATTTAATTAGATAATTAAAAATTGAAGAAAACATTTCTAATTATTAATTAATTAATTAGTACTGATTTTCCATTTTCTCTTGGGCTGTTTTAAGCTCTTCTAGCTGAGCGCAGGCATTCGGACTAACGTGTGGAGGGTAGTTTGTTTCCCGTTTTTGACTCCTTAAGGGTAAATACACAGATCGTATTACGTTGAAATATTTCATAATTACTATATAATATATTAATATTAATAGATTGTATTTACTTTGGAGATCCTTGAGGGGAACATTGTGCTTGTATTTCTGTTATTTGTTGCAGGATTTTCTCTTTCTCTCTGACGGATTCATTCTGTTCGGAAAAGTAAAATAATAAACATACTTTCCAAGAAAATCTCCAATTTAGTTATTTATTTGATTAATTCTGGTTTTTATTCAGTAATTTTGTTTACGGAAAAACTACAATAACAAATCATAATTTACATTTTTTATCCGAGTTTCTAAATCGGCTATTTTTTTATCTTTATCTCTCATATCTTGTAAAATCTTTTGTAATATAGAAGTCTCTTCTCTAGGTTCATCGTGATTCATTTCGACTTGGGATGAAGCGTTTGATTGTTGTTTTTTCCTTTGTCTTTTAGGCTTTATTTTTATATTTTTAAAAGAACTAATTATAATTTATGATAGTCAATATTATGAATATTAATTAAAATTTGAATATCCTCTAGTGTTTTTTACCGATAGTTTACTCTCTCTCCCCAATTTTGGGGAGCTGGATTGAGATTTCCTATTCGGTTCGAAATGTGGAAGCCGGTATACAGGCAGTGCTGTAGGGGATATTGGAGGTGGATCTTGCAGCACATAGAATCGAGGTTCCTGCTCCTCATTTAAATTGACAAGGTAACTGGCGTCGAAAGATGTTGCCTTATCCATACCACAGTGAACTCTTTGTGCTGCAAGCTCCACTTGTAGACGTTCTTTTTCGTTACAGTACTTTTTATCTGTACAAATCGAGTTATTTCGTTTATTTATTAATGATTTATGGGTTTAAAAATGAAAAAATTATACTTTGCGCTAAAAGATGTGAAATAATAGCATCTTTTTTCCTCATTTCTAGATAAAGATCTGAATCGTTTGAATGATCTAACATTTCTTTTTCTTCTAATTTCCGCATTAGCCTTTCTAATTTCTCTGAAGTAGGATTAATTTGGACATATTACAACATATACTTTATTACAATATGGAATATACAAACTTCTCATATCTAAATTCTCGTCTTCAACTGTTCTTAACTGATCTTCTAATTTTAATCTGACGCTTCTCTCTAAATGCTCTCTCTTCTTATTTTGTCTGCTTAAATTATCATATTCATCCTTTATTCTTGCCATTTCTTCCTCCAACTGCTGTAATTTTGCTACCTTACAGCAATTTGTTTGCAATTGCTCCCTAAGTGTTCTATTCTCTTTTGATAATATTTTAATCATTCTTGCCGTTCTGGCAGTGATATTCAAACATTCCGTTTCTTCCGGCTTCTTTTCCGTATGTATTTCGTTCATTGGCTTTTTGTCATCAATTTGCATAAGATCAGGATTTGATTGCGTTAGAGACGGTGACCTTTGACCTTTTGGTGAGGTAGGTCTGGTATTATCGGCTGACAAGCACTCTCGGCCGTCTTGAAATTTTTGACGCATGGCCGCGACTCGGTTGTTTAGAGCGGGAGCAGTCCCCGAAGGCTGCGGGGAGGGTTTTCTAGTACCATTAGTTAATTGATGTATAACCTTAAGAATATCGAAAAAGTAATTATATAACTAAAGTTTCTTGTTTTAAATAAACTTTTTTTGACTTAAAAAATAAAAAAAGATGGTTTGTAAATAAACCTGACGAATTCCTGGTGAGACAGGTGGCGAAGATTCGGTTTTGCAAATAGAACTTTCGCGAGAACTCGGTAAAGAATCTCGGCAGGAGGGAATAGGCGGTAGAGGACGCTTTGCGTTGTTTGTAACTGCTAAAGATTTTTCCTCCTCCTTTCGAATGAATAGATTGGGAACATGTGACGCAATTCTTATACCTAAACGATGCGATGTTTATATGAGAGAGATACTATCCTTTAAAAGAATGTTCTTATTTATGTAAAAAGTAATTCGTCTTACTCGAAGAAGTCGGAACTCCGCTTGGTCTGGATAATAAAGGCGCTTTCACGGTTTTTAAGGGACCGCCAACGGGCTGTGTTTGTTGTTGGTCTTCGCCGGTACCCTTCTTTTGAACTTTATCAATTTTTGATACGGTTTTTGGGGGTGGTAACTTTGACCTATTTGCTGACTTTCGGTTTTCTGAGTTCTTCATTGTACCGGCTTCCATGTACTTTCGAAATGGATTTTTTAAAGATTGTAAAAGCTCATTAGGTCCTCTTGATTTTGTTGTTGGTAATTTTGATATATTGGAAGCATTACTAGTTGAGGATTTTACATTTTCATATTCACTAACGGGTCTTGATTTGACCTTGATCTTCTGACCTTGAATAGGATGAAAAAATGCAAGAATGTTTAAATTTCACTTTAGTGTTATCGCTAGCCTCTAAAAATGGGCCATAAACTAGATTAAAATTGGTTTGTAGTAAATACCTTGAGGCAATTTTGACCCTCGTTTCGCCGTTCTTATCTCAGTCTGGCCGTCTTCATTCCGTACCACAACAGCGCCCAGTTTATGTAATATTGAATTTTTACACTTTTCAGGTAAAAGAAAATGGGTGTCAGGCAGTGCTGTTGGAGTAGTTGCGGTAGAATTTTCCTGGCCTTGCGGTTCCTGTCGAGTACAGGCCGAAAGATTCTCCATAGACGAATCGTTTTCAGAGTAAGCTTGTGGAGGTAAATGTCCCGGATAGGGAGGTGGGTCCCGTTCAGTGGGCGGGCCCATCTTCTTTTGCATTCCACGCAGCCCGAGGCGGTCCTGGATAAGGAGAATTTAATAAATTCGTTAAAAAAATCATAATATTTTCATTCTTTTTTTTTTAAAAAAAAGGAACGCACTCATATTTTTTTTTCAATAGCTAAAACATAAACTTGTCGTTTTTTGAGGAAGCAAATATAAGAGTAGAACTAAACAGTACAAGACGTTTTTCTCTTCTTTAGTCCTTTCTTGTTCTTATATCCCTTTTTTCATTTATTTGTCTCTTTTTCTCGCTTTTTATTTTGCTTATTTTCCTCTTGTACCCTCCCCTTCTCTCTGACTCTCTCCCTCTCTCTCTCTCTCTCTCTCTCTCTCTCTCTCTCTCTCTCTCTCTCTCTCTCTTACACACACACAGCCTGACTGTCTATCTCTCTTTTTTTTCTTACACCACCCCGTAAGATATCCAGGTAACTTTGGAAGAAGAAATAATAACAAATCGTTGAAACGATTGAAAAATAAAAATAAAAGAAATATGATAAAATTTTGAATTGATTAGGCGGAGATGAAACAAAAATGGTTGCATTATTTATAAATATAAAAGTAATAGGAATAATAATAAATCAATGATTTTGTTAAAGAAATATATATCTTCCAAACTTTTAAGAAAAACATGCAAACAAAAAACTTTCAAAATAGGATAAAATGCAGCTGGCAGCCCATATTAAAACTAGGTCACATTAACAGTATAGACCCATCCAACTTAGCCTTTACACAAACTCCTCAGACAGGAACTAAAAATAAAAATGCCTAATTAAATTGTATAGGGAAACCTTGCAGAGAAAAACAAGGCCTAGAACAAAAGGAATGCAAGCAAACATTTTGCAGTGCAGGGTAGCTCTACAACTACGGAGAAAAGGCCTATATCTGGCTGTCCGAATATTGAAGCATGCGCTTTTTAAGTTAAGGTATGAAATAAAGAAAAATTAAAGCAAACCTCTTTGTGAAAGTCTTTTTTCTTTCGAAAAAATGGAGGAAATTTGATTCAAAAAAGATTGAAGAGAGAGAAAAAAACGGCGTACTCGATAGAGTGGTAGAAGCAGACGTTTTAGAATGTATCGCAATCTGCACTTAGCCTGGTTTCGTCTTCGCATCACATGTTTGCAAAGTTTGTCACGCTGGGAAGCTGGAGCCCTCTCCAAACTATGGTATAGGCTTACTGTTTGCGCGCACTACATACCGCGACTAGAAATGTAAAGAGTTTCCTAAACAAATTCCTGAAGGATTATTCATTTTCTTTTTCAAGTACAAACTTTTTCCCGCCTAATTTGCATATTTATTACCTCAAAAACGCATTCTTTCTTAAACTTGTAAGTAGTGTAGTTTAATATTCTCTTATTATTTATTTTAAGATATTATTTTAGCACTTTTATTAATTTATGCCCCACTATAATAGGGTAATAATTATGTTTATTATGATATTTAGCATTCCGTTGAATAATACATAAATTAAATAGGACAACGCTTTCTAAGAATTACTATAGCCTACCATTTCAAATAATAGTTTATGCATTGCAGTTGCTATCAATAATTTTAGTAACGTTCTTTAATGTCCGATAATGAATCCATTAACCATTTAAACTATATCAAAAGAATTCTTGTATTTATTAATTGCTTATGATAGTTTGTCTATTTAAATGAGCTACTAGTTTCGATGAAAATAACCTAACTTTTACTCTATCCCTTTTTCTTCTCTCAGCCCTAACTTTCCTCCACTTTCTCTCTTTCTCCCTTTCTCTCTCTCTCTCTCCTCTCTTACCTACCCAATCAGTTTAAACTTGTTTTTTATATTCTCATCAACAGTTTGCACTTTTCTCACATTTAAGTTTACTTTTTAAAACTTCTCTTTTCTATTCAACTTAAAATTTATTCAATTCTGTTCAAGATATACTGAAACAATGAACAAAACCATTTACATTCCAATTCTACTTATGCATATAAATAATATCTTGAGAATTTTAATAAGATAAAATGAGTTGTTCCATATTCAAAACTTAATTAATGAATATTCATGAATTAAATTTCTAATAATTTTAGTATTCTGTTTATTATCATAAATAATGTTTACATTAAAATTTTATTAGACAAGTTAAGAAAACTTTTTAGTTAAAATAAAAAGTAAAAAAAAAAAACTTTTAAAAAAATTCCCCAAATACTTTTGGCAAGTTCGGTGAATTTCTCAACTCTGTAAGATGAAATGCGATCTTATTTAGACATTTTAATTAATATTTACTGTAAAACTAATCATATTCTTTAAATAGCTTAAGATATAAGCATTTTATTAAGAAGACAATAAATTAAAATTATTCTTTTTTTTATTTTGTATAATCTGTTATTTTGATAGAAATTGACACAATTTTATTACTAAAGTATTTATGCGGTGGTTATATAATAAAGACAGAAAAAGCAGAAAGAGAAAGAGAGACAGAGAGAGAGAGTGAGTGAATAAATTTAAACAATAACAATTAGATTTTGTTTGCCCAGTTTAAAACTATTTTGTTTAGTATAAGCTATTTCTCCTGTACCAACTACTCCTGTAATCAATTATCTTTTGCGTTTAATAGCTTATGACTAGGTGGGACTACTCTCATTCTTTTTACTGTTTGCAATGTTTACTATTATTCTTCTCTTTTTCAAAGATCTACTAATTAATTTATTACTCTTGCTTTTGTTTTTAATTGCATTCAAAGATATGTTTTCCTAACGTTAAGTATACCTTCCCTTTTAATACATTGTAGTAAATTTTGGATTTTTCTTAGACTAAATGGTTTTGTCGTTCAATTATCATCATCTTCTTCTTTAAATTATTTATTAAATAGTATTAACATCTCCCTCTCTCTCTTTTGTTTATTTGAAAATGAAAATATTAGATATCTACAAAAGAGTAAGGGGAAAAAATGTATTACTCAGTGCGTCATCTAGGGGCTAAATAATGAAAGAAAAAATCGCTGTATTGCGTCATGAAATGGTATTTCGTAACTGGGAAAAACATTCCTAAGATGTTTTGTGAAAAATATATATTAAATCATTAATATATCGCTATTTATTCAGGTGCCAGAAAAAGAAAGAGATTAGTAAGTTGAACTCTTATAGTAGTTCTGGAAAGGAGTGAGAGCAACTAGTAAAGTAATAGTTAGATTGAGTGATGATGATGCCAGATGCACCAAAAGTTTAGTTGTAGTATATAAAATATATTTGATGTAATAGTTCTATCTTTAAATCTTTTTCTTTCTTAAGAAAAATTCTTATCATTCTTTATAAACATTTAATATACAAATAAATAAATTTGTAAATATTGCAGCATAGAGCTTTTCTAGAAAAATGTAAACGTTTTCCTTTATATCTTTCTTTTACTTTATAATTTAACCTTTGAAAATGAATTTATTAATTAAGTAAAAATATTTCTTTGCAAATCATAGTCGTATCTTAAACCATAACAAAAGGTCAAATATATGTTATAGATATCAGATCAGCCAAAAATAAAGACGATATGAGATATCAAGTTTTTAATAATTATTTATATAGTATTCCCTCATTGAATCAGAATGTATAGTTTGTCAATAACTATTCTCAATCTCTTCCACTTTTTTCGTTTTTATTGAATAGACAAAGAAAGAATTAGTAAGAATGAACTTTTAAATATTTTTCTAAGACATGATCTTTCTGTTTAAAGCAGGTGATTGAAAACATTCATCCTCTCTACTAGTAAGAAGATTTAGATAATAATTTTGGTGTGAGGTAGGGAGAGTTTCCAGATACTACAATCGATTCTGAAAGCTTTATCTTTTTCGAATTACTTACCTCAAAAATAGCTGAAAATTTCAGTTATTTTAAGAATTTTCTAGTTGATATTCAAACAGTACTTGCTATCAAAACATTCTTTTATCTCTTGTAGAAAAAAGCTAGAAAATTTGTAGTTTATTCTTAAAGTATATATATATATATATATAGATATGTTGTATATACTGTATATTACTATGTAACGTAAGATTTAAGTCATTTTCAGTTGTTAAAAAAGCTGTTTGTTTTCATAGAATATGCAAAAAAATGTTGTAATTAAATCAAGCAAGGGGTAGATTGGTCGCTGGTGGGGAAGATATGATGGAGAGTGTAGGTATATTTGATAAGCTTAGGCCTCAATTGGCTAAGGTACCCTTGATGTTATATACATATAATATAAATGAGTATGTTCTCAAATTTTGAGATGTCTATAGTTTTTGTCGTTGTTTTTTCTTTCCAATATGATTTTTATATAATAGTATATACAAACATAGATGTGACTATTTTTACTATATACCTTAATCGCGTGTAGCTTACCTCATGTTAATAGATGAGTATGTTATATAAAATGTTACATATGATCCAATTAATCAAGGAATGCGTAAACTATTTACCTTGGGTATCGTGAACATATTTAATAAAAGTTGCATTTTTTTCCTCTTCCCAAAATCGTAATTCATCTAAATAGAATTTACTATAATACTGTTGACTAGCATAAGGATCCTTTCCCAAACAAAAATTGTTAAGTACTATTGGACTGGTAATATTTTTTATACCAGATATTCCTTTCCCCAACCAGGTACCGTTTAAATATAAATTAAAATCAGTTTTATAAGTAATGCAGTAGTGTTGCCAAACTCCATAAATATTATTTAATGCTACACCATACTTTGTTGTTCCATTTGATATTGCAAATGAAAGAATTGGGCCAAGATCATATATGGCTAATCCGTAGGACTGCTTGTAATGGGCGCCATTCGCAATATAGACAGCCATCGGTTGATTATGACGAAACGCTTTCATCCAGAAGCATAATGAAAAGCCATTCTGACAAAGATTAGGTGAAAGAAAGCATTCATTTCTTCTATTTGTCCAAATAACGAAAGAATTTTTAGTGAAATCTAATGATTTACCAAGTATAGCAGTTTCCGAAAACGTCATTTTACCATTGATAGTGTCTGGTCCGCTAACAAACGGATTTTCCAGCAATTTACTTGAGATTTCATCGTCAAATGTTCTATAATATTTCGTATTTAAAGGATCAGAAAATCCTCTTTTAAAGCATATTATACTAATATATAATAAAATGACTTTGGTAAGAAAACTGCTCATCCGGTTGGAACACATCACTACGCAGAAATGATAACAGTTACGGGATCTCCTGATATACAATAAATATGTTATTGAATGATTGATCTAATTCGTAAAGAAGTTGAACGGATATGTAAGTATTGATGAGAAATTAAAAATAACATATAAAGTATAGGCATCAAAGATTTTCGATTTTAAACCTAAATTTTCAGAGGCAATATATGTTCAAAGAATTCAAAATATTTATAACTGTTGGTTTAAAATAACCAATATATACTAGTATATACATATCTTTGTGCTATATATATATACTAATGCAAATGAATTTATAAGGAAGAGAATTAATCTATCTCTATCTTTTTCATTTAAAAACTATTTCTTATAGGTTGAAAGTCGGAAATTAGATGAAAGGATTCAAATAATTCTTTTATCTTCTATTGTTTTTCTAGATTTGCTTTGCGTTGCACAGATAAAAACATTCTACTTTTCAATAGTATAATGATCATAAGTCCAACGTTATGATTAACATTGAAAATATAGAATATTTCCTTCCTTATAGAAAATATTTACATGATTAAATACAAATATTTATATATCTTTCCACCTTTTGTCCTTGCAAGTTGAGAGTAAAGATAGTGAAGATATAGAATATATTTAAATATATATAGTATAACTGTCAAGTTCAATATTTTTGAAAATTATATGTTTAAAGCTTTCTTTTCTTTTCCGGTCCCCTAACATTAGAAACTCATTCAATTAATATTGGTAATTGAACAATGTATAACAAAATCTTATTAACTATGTATAAATATCACAGAATGATCAATATGACTTTCTACCAACAGAATAAAACGATTATATTGGAATAATAAAACAGTTGAAATTTCATTGTTTATTAATTTACATATTTCTATTAATTAGATCATAAGTTAATCGATAACAAAAAAAAAGGGAAGGGGGAAGGAAACGCGAATTCGATATCTAAATTAATTAAGGAATAAGTTAATTTCTCGTAAGACTGTAAATCTTGTGAATAATTAATTTTTTTTTTGTTGAAATTATTTCTTTAACTAAAATGGCGTCGAATGGTAAAGAGAGGAAAAAGACAAAGAAGAAAAAGGTTGCTTTTGAAGTTACAAAAGATGAAGAAATAAGAGATGAAAGACCAAGGAAGAAGAGCGTAAATACGTAAATTTATTTTATGTTTTTTTTATTATCTATGCTTATATTTAGAATCTATTCGTTGGTAAATGATGCTTTTTTAGATTAAGAAACAATAAGTCATTCGTATATTCCTTATTTTAATTTGTAGATCTCATGGTTTAGATAAGAAGAGAGGAATCAAAAAACTTCATCGTCATTTAACTACTGATCCAAAAGATGTTGATTATTCCCTTTCTGTTTGCTTTCAATGTAATGCCGGTCAATTTACTCATGCCGATGTTTACAAAATGGCTAAAGAACGTTTAGACCGAACGAATTCCGATCCAAAGAAAATGAAAATCATTTATGAACCTCGAAACGTTATTTTAGGTTCTAAAGATCACGATGATCGTTGGATAGTTACGGCATCGGATATAATGATGAAAAGGCATTTTATGAGGGGTTTTCTTTGGAAAGATCAACCGGTATTTGTAAGGAAATATCAAGAAATACTCGAAGAAGAATGGAAAGCTTGCAAAAAGATGCATTTATCGTCAAAGATAATTAAATCAGTCGTTTTAAAGACCGAGCTAACTCTTCATCAAGACGATTAACATTACACTAATTTTTCAGCAAAAGACATCCTTTATTTTCTCTTTTTCTCACTATTATCTAGGTCAATATAAAATAAACTTGACCAGCCAGACATACATACATTGCTCAATTAACAGTATAGTTGTTTTTTAATGCTGACGTGTCCTGCATCAAAAAGTGAACATTACTCAAGAAGGACATTGGTATATAAGTAGGATGATTCGTTTTAATCTTTTAGCTGATAACATCGTCCTGTAGGCGAGATGAAGGTATTTTCTTTGTCGTCCTTCGTTGGTTTCGCTCTCATCAGTAGTAAGTATCTTTTTTTCTAATAAACTTACATTTATTATTGCCACAATTCAATTCCATAAACCTTATGTTTCTTATTTTTCATTATAGCCATACTAGGTTCTTTAGATAGTCAACCCCAAATATATCATATGATAGCAGTTGGAGATCATGGCTACTTCCCTATATGTTATGATGTTGGAATTGAAACTGGAGGTGCAGTTCGACTTTTCAGTGACGACTCTATGGGACTCAGTATCACAGCAACAACATTTGATGGACATCATATTGACTCAGTTAACATCATCTTTAAATCGAAAAACTTTTTAATTAATACCAAAGGATTTAAAGTTGGAAGTAACGAATTAGTTGCCTGGGAAAACTTTAGACTAGGAAAATTGACCTCAAAAAATGTTACAGCTATGTTTGAAAAGAATAGCATATTGATTAAGCTTGAAACAGAATCAAATTTTCTTGACGTGAGAATTACGAGAAGGGAATATAAGGAAGGAGCCTTCTTTTTGTCAATCTGTTTCCCTAGATTAAATCCAAAGAACGACACTAGGAAAGGAATTGTAGGGTTTCTGCGAAATTTATCGTGGAAAATTGAAAATGTTGCTCATTTCGGAAAAGCTGAAGACGAACTAGAAGAAATGGTTGATTTAAATTTCTCAACTAATACAAGTTCTTATAAATCAATTATTCGATGTGATATGGTTAAGAGACAAAGCTCTCAATGCTGTAAACTTGAGATAATGAAAATTATTGGTCATATAGACAACTTTTCATAGCTTATTATTACTAAATTGTAGCATTTTCGTTTTTGCTGATAAATTAGCAAATGACTTTATAATACATCGGAGGAAGTTGTCAAAATGATTGGAATCTTATAGTTGTATTTCCTTAGTTTGACATGCACTTACTACATACAAAAACAAACTCAGAAACTTAATTATCTTATTTCCGAACATAAGTGATTATAATTAGTATTCATCGACATCTTCAAAAATATCGTTTTGTACTAAGATAAAGATCATTGACTACCATGATAGTAGCTTATACTTTCCTAATTCAATATGACAATTCGGACATTTATGTACTCGATCCTTGGAGAAATTCGTTAGAAAAGGTATAAGGCAACACCCCAATAAGCCTCCAATAAGCATAATACCGAAGCAAGTAAAGTAAGTACATCTTCCGGAAACGTGATAAAAGTATGTTGTTATTTCTTTTTCACAATTATAACATTTCAATGCCGACGGATTTGCCGAATTAATTTTTGGTCTAGCTAGAGGTCGTTCTCTAGTTTTTGATTCATTAGTTGTATTCAAGACTATTGTTGTCGATTGACTTGTATGCCAAACTTTACAGAAGAGAAAGGAAAACTTGTTAGCTATTAGTTAGTTTAAGAAATTTTACAAAAAGTTATCTATCCTACTTGGTTGTAAAGATTGTCGACGAGTGTCATCATCGCTTTCTTTCCTTTCGTCATTCCGGATTGATGAATCTTGAGAAAAGTCTTCCTTTTCTAATTTCTTTACCGGCGTTCTAGGTAAAATTTCAGGCTGATATGTTTTTTCACGTTCAGTTGGTGTTATCTCTCTCCACAAAGTATCAAACTCTGTCACAAGTGCATCGGTAGGCTGATGAACGACAGTATGCCTAGGAGATCTCGGAGTTAGTCGAGGTGTCGTTGGACGCGATGTTGATCCTCCGGTGGCTGAGGAATTTGGAAGCGCTAGTTTTTCCGACATTTTCTTCTAGAATGCTGTAATTTAATGGTGTTGAAATACCCTTATGCTGCTTTACCTTCTTAATTAAATATCAATTATTCAACAAGTTTTTTTGCTTAAAATGAGTTATTCGACATTGTAAGATATTAATGTTATACGTTCACTTTATTTATACATATTCCATTGATAAAAACCTTAACAAACAAGAATTAATTAACTATACAATATATGAACTTTGGTGATAATTTATACAATCAATGGGAAAAGTTCCATCAACAAATGACGACAGAAAACAATCACTAGACTTATAATGTCTTAAATCTGTTTTTGTGCAATTTTCTAAAAATCTTCGAAGAGGGAGAATATGGGTCGTAGGAGACGTCCACGTTGTGTGAAAATCTTCTAAGATATAGTGTATCTTATCGGGCAATGGCAAGATAGCGTCTCTACGTTTATTCAGCATTCGTCCTTCTGTATGAATGAACGTAATGTCTAGTAAGCACTAATGTAATTGAAAATTAAATATATATATGAATTTACTTGTTGGTAATTTTTCATAATAGTAAAACTGAGGATGAAGAAAATTACTGAGATGAGCTTCCTCCAAGACCCCAGTAGCTCGGTCTATTCTTAAAACGTCATTTCCGGGTGTTGTAAACGTTTTGCCATAATTTAATACTAGAATTAATACATCGTTTATGGGATAACCGGTAACATTTTCAAAATTATGCAAATTAGATATTAAATAATTTTCAAAGTAATGAAATTGTTTGTTATCTCTGAAATAATAATAAAATTAGAGATATAAATTACATCTCACTTTAGAACACCTACCTATCAATAGCTATTATATCACCGAGAACTCCGTGCATTTGATACAGTGAACTAACTTCATTAATTCTCTTTAGAATGACAGTAATTAATTCTGTTAATTTGTAAGTGGAAATAGGCCAAAGGGTATTATGATTTTTCCTTTCAAGATTCTTATGAAAGTTCTCGACTAGTATACAAGGGAAGGGGAAGGGAAAGAAAAGAAAATGTTAAAGATAATTGACTATACATAAATATTAATTTATATTAATATATAATATATATACTTACTCATATATCTAAACCCATGAATAAACCCTCCTGATGATCTTCTATAATCTAAAGAATGAGCAGTTGTTCCAATAAAATAGAGGTTTTCAATGTTTGTTGATTGAAATTTATCATCTATTTCAGGATATTTTTCACTTTTTGTCAATGCTGGTGACATTAAGCTTTTTAGAGGGAAAAGAAAAGAAGATAATAATCATATACAATTAATAATATTTTATTATTTAGAGAATAGCCTATTTACAAATAACACTTTATAATTGTGTTTTTTTTCGGCTTGCTCTCCTTTCTCTTTTATTCCTTTTATAATCATTGAAACAATAGAGGAATAGAAATTGTTAATAGGAAAAACTGTCAATCGTGTCTATTTTTAAACCAGGACAAAAACAAATAGAAAGCAAAGAAAAGAAAATTGGTTAATAACAAAAGAGTATGCACTTACTCAGAAAAGATACTATTATCAAATTTGAATCCCAAGCATCTTATTACTATATCATAACCTTCTCTTAGGGCAAAATTATCCATAGTATCAGGCAGATTATCTGTCTGGAAATAGAATTTATCCTTGACCTTTTTTAATTTGAAATCTTTTATTTCCCCTTCCAAGATTCCATCCAAAGATTTTAATTGATAGGTATCAATTAGATGACTATATACACTTCTAATGATGATTAAAACAATAGATATTATTATTTTATCTTTTAGTGGAAAGAGATTAAGTGTTAGAAACCTTATATCTCCTACATAGTGAGTCTCCCACGCGAGTCTTACTCTATTTCTACCCAGAATATGAACTTTATTTGTTTTTTCATAAATCGCATTTGCTGTTTCAAAAGCCGAATTTCCGTGACCTAAAACAGAAAATTAAAAGAGATTGACGATAGTGGAGCGTCTTTAGATATTTCCTTTGATGTTATTATTTAAAATTTACCAAGAATAAGGACATCTTTGCCTTTATAAAAATCTTCATCTAAGGGCATTTCCTCGTATCCAATCATATCTTGACTCCCTTCAAAAGTCGGTAAGACAGGTTTACTTAATCCACTAGCTATTATTAGACTTTTACATTTAAGTATTTTATCATTAGCTTCCATTCGAAATTCTTCTCTATTTTTACTAATATTGAGCACATTTACTCCGTAAATAATATTCAAATCATGAGTTTTTGAATAATTACTTAGATAATCTCTCATCTGTTTTCTTCTTGGAAAAAAGTCAGTTGAAAAATCACTAAATCTTAATAAATTTCGAGTTAGCAGAGAATTCCAATCGTGCCTGAAATTAAATTCTTGATTTATTTTACCAGTAAATCTTTTATTGATAGAAATCAAACGATCATGGCGAGGGAATCTTTGAAAAAAACTTCCACTTTCGTTATTCCTCTCAATTATTATATAATCTCTTTTTGACTCTTTTAAAAAGTATCCCATTTGTAAGCCAGCGGGTCCAGCTCCAATAATTATATAATCCCATTCTAGTTTGAAATTTGTAGATTGATATTTTTTAGCAAGCCAAATAAATATAAAGAGACTGAAAAGTAGAAGTCGCATATTCGACGGAGAGAAACGCCTTAAAGAATGACGCTACGCGAATCAATAGGCTTAATATATGCTCCTATTACTTGTGGAAATATATTATACAGTATACTGTATATATTTATGTATAATCGCCTACTAAAATGAGCTCATTTTAAATAAATAGATGTAAGTTTTCAATATATACCTAAGCGTTATTTTAAAAAAATACTGGAAATAAACCAAATTTCTAAGCAAATTAATTTTATTAATCTAATAGCTACATTAAAAACGTAACATTATAGGCTTAATTACAGTGTCATATGGATATAGTAAATTAATATGAACAAAGAAGGGATGATGTTTTTCATACTTAAAGATGTATAGTATTTTATATATACTGTATATATATTTTACTCTTTAAATATGGTAATCCAATTTCTCCAATAAGTAACAAATTCCCTCTATGAAATCAAATTTATAACCAATTTTCTTATCTAATCAATGAACAAGAAGCTAAATCGATATGGAATATCGGCTTTATGAGAATCTTGCCTACTTTGTTTACCCTATCAAATCCGCCTACTCTTTTTTCTTCTATTTATAGTTTTTTTCTAACATGACTTTGAAGTAGGACAAGTAAGTTTTTCTTTTATTTTTCGTTTCACAAACAAAACAACTACATCGATTTAATTTCAACGAATAATCCTTTAGCGATTATAGGTAAAATTTACTATTTTTCTTTTTTATATATAATACAAGTATTTCCTTTTTACTATTCTCGTTAGAAAATCATGTACTATAATTAAGAAACTTATCTATTTTGTTAAAACACAACTTGTTTATTTGAATATAGGTCATAATACAACTTTGCCTTTGTTTTTAGTATAATATTAACGATTAGTAGGCCTATAATGGTAAAAATCTATTGTTACAACAATATAGAATGTTTAAAACATATATTTTCGAATCTCAGCGTAAAAATTTTTATTGAAAACTGTAAGAGATAAGAAATCGATTTACTGTTAAAATTTCCTTATCTATTCTGATAAGACAGCTGAATAAAAATTGACGCAAACAGTAGAAAGAAAAGCTGACATCATTCAAGCGAATATAAAAGAAGAAAATTGAATTTTCTATTTTCAGAAGGATATCGATAATTCCTAAAGGATAATCATATAATAATAACAACATGGTTTACGGAAATAAAGGTACGGATTGTCAAGATTCAGCAAACAATTATGGTAATGTTGAAGCAAGACTTAAAACTTTCAAGTCAAAATGGCCTCATAAATTTATTTCAATACGAATCTTAGCTGAAGCTGGTTTTCACTTCACAGGTAACGATATTTGCCAACATTGTTATATTTAACTTAACTTTTAATTATAAAACTATTTATAGATTACAAAGTAAATTACATCTCTTAGTATTAACTGATTATTGAACAATTGAAATAATATTTATTAACAGTAGTTGTTGATATTTAGTAATAAGAAATGATTATTTCGGCTAAAAAAAGCTTATTAATACCTGTTTCCCGCTCAAATAGGACCTGATGATCGAGTACAATGCTTTAAGTGTTCTGGTCAACTTCAAAAATGGGTCTCAACTGATGATGCTTTCTCAGAGCATCGAAAACACTTTCCCCATTGCCCTTTTCTCAAGACTCAAGAATTTCAAAGATCACTTTCCTCAAACGCTGATCAAGAGGAGGAAAAAGTTGAAACTGCTTGCCTGTGCGGAATGATAAGGAGGAGGAGAACAAAGGGCAAAATAAAAACCTCTTCACTCGAATTCTCTGACTCAAATCAAAATAAAAAAACTTAATATGACTCTTGTCAAATTATTGCGCAATTATTATTAATATATGATAAGTAATAAATCTATTAATAGAATATTATATGATGTTTCAGTGATATATCGCGAAAAACAATAATAAAAGAATCACGTGAACAGAATTTATACGAACGTCTCTCTTTTTTTGTTTATCAAGAATCTTCAATCTAGTTTAAATCTTAATCTGATCTATTTTTTGTTATTACCGTTTTTTTCATAGGAATAACTCTATTTACAACGTTAAGTATTTTTTTCAACTGAAGTATAAAGATGACTTTTCATAATGTTTCCCTGCAGTTATAACCTTTTAAACGTTATATAGATAATATATGTGTATATTTATAACATCTATTAAAATTGAATAAATTATTATCTGTATCAAAAACAGTTGATAGAATAACCACAATCTATTACTGTATTTGTTTTTGACATTTTTTCAATCTATCTAAGTATCATTGATGTTTATTTTAAGCTCCAGCCGTTATAATCTTAATGAAATATTAATATTTAATTGTTTCAACTTTTTATCAATTGATTAATTAACAGTTTATGATAAGTAAGAGAAAAGCGTTTAGGATTGATACACTGATATGTATATTTAAATAAGAATACATTATACATTCCTTTAACTATTGTAATATCTTGTTAGGAAAACAAACACGTTTATCTTCTCTTCTTAAGAGACAAACTAACATACGTATGCTGATAGTGGTATAGATCCTAAAGCATCCTTTACATCGACTAACCAGCAATCGTTTTTATTTCTTTCCGTTAATAAAGCCTGAACATTTGTACCATTTACATCTATAACAGTCCTTTGATAATTTGAATCATTTCCGTATTGTACTGCCTTGTAGAAGATAAAATTATTTCTACCAATTCTGCCTATTAAACCACCTATATTTTCATAATTGTAGCCTATATTCGGAAATATAACATCTAAATAATGGCCAGTTATAGAATGTTGTTTTCTTGATATAATTAATTTTAGAGAATTGCCCGCCAATTCAAAATATTCAAAATTGATTTCGTATTCTTTTATTTCAATTCTGTACAGTCGATCAATTATCTTTATATAATCTTGTCTTAACGTCCATTGAATTGATTTACCATTTTCCAATTTTAATTCTTTCGTATTTAAATCAAATTTACAATGAGGTGAATAAATTTGAATTGAATGCATATAATAATCATCCATCAATGTTCCATGTACCGACATATTTATCCTTTCATCTGATAGAATATGTATTCTTTGCCCACTTTTACCGCTGACATCGTAACAGATTCTATGAGGAATCGAACTATTTTTGTCCAAAATTATCTGACCAAAATGTGGATCACCTTGAGTAATTGCATCTTTCACTGGTGAATCTGCTTGAATATACAATAATACTTCACCGTAGTTTCTAGTATTATCAAATACATCTGTGCACGATACTATCACTTTTAACATTTTGGAAGTCTTTGGTTTGTCCAGAAGAATTTTAATAGTTATTATCATTCTATCCGACTCATCTATCAGAATTGTTGGGAAAGAGTATGCGCCGTATATTTCATTTCCATCTTGATCCTCTACATATACTGTAAAATCTTTTTGGCTCTTTGCCGTCCCCTCGTAAAGAAGACTGTAAAAAGTTGATGCAGAACATATATATGTTTATATCCATATCAAATTGTTCAAGCAAAAGCTTACCGACAGATGGCAAGATCAGAATTTCTCCCTTGTTGGACAATTATTTCAGCGTCTCTATTGAATTCATTTAAAGTAGAGGTAGCCGGAGGTGTGACTTTAATAGTTAAATTAGCTCTAGCGTCTATTAAATATAATGGAAAATATAAAATATAAGTATAATTAAGACTTTAAACATTCTCACTGTTAGAAATAGAGGAAATGATAAAAGAAAAAATAGCTAGAAATTTCATTTTTCATACAGCGTCTCTAGCCATGGACTAATGGTGAACTTTTATTTAATATCTTGTATTCACGCTTTTATATGAGTAGATGTACATGACTGTTTTCAAGTAGTTTTCAAGCTTCATACCTGCACGAGTTAAGAGCAGAGTATTTTTGATGAATATTTAATGTTAAATAGAGATATCTAACTACTAATATACGGATATTGTCTTAATAAAGTAAGTAAGAGAAGAAAGAAACAACATAAAACAATATATTTCTTTAATTTGTTTGAAATAAATTAAATTATTTATTTGAATAAATAACTGAATAAATTAGTTTGAGAAAAGCTACTAGTATTTTAGATCTAAGGCAAAAGATTCTAATGCGTCTTGAACATCTATAAACCAGCACTCTCTTCCCTGTTTTCTGGCGAAATACGATTTTCTTAATACGCCGTTAATTCCAATTAGTGTCTCTTTTGCTCCATTTGTGCCAGACTGAACGGGATCATAAAAAGTGAATTTCCTCTTTCCAAGAAGTCCCATTAGGCCATATACTCTTTCGTACGTGGTTAGGCTTGGAAAAGAAATATCAAAAAAATACTCGGAGCTAATAAGCTTATTTGCTGTCCGTTTAATTGAGACTGTAACAGTGTGCATTTCATGTTTTATTATGATAACTAGCATATTCTTTGTAAATTCTATTATAAATGCCTTCTGTTCTAAAGCAAAGAATGCCAAGTTACTCTCCCAAGAATAAAAAAAGCCATTTGCAATGGTGAAACCAGTGGAATTTATATAAAAATTACCAAATAATGTAGAAATAAAAATTGATTGAATAAATTGTTTTTTTAATTGGACATTTACAGTAACATTTGACTTTTCATCCTTAAGAATTTCTAAAATTCTTCCATATTTTTCATGTAATTCGTAACATAATCTATAATGCATGCCTTTCTCATCGTCTCTGACGATTTGTCGAAAATAAGGTTCATTAACATTATTTTCAACTAATATCAAAAATCTTATTATTCTTATTGATTTATAACCAACTTTTTTGGAAGAATCGTTCCATTCTCTACATAATATATTAATACCAAAATATTCGTCTTTCTCAATATCGCTATCTCTTAATGCTAAAACATCAATGGTTAATTCTTGAGTTGAATCGCTCAATTTAGTCAAAAATGGTTCGTAAAATATCTTTATGCCATCTTTTCTCACAGTTAACACATAGTTATCAAACAATTTTGCTGTAGAATCTTTGGTTTGTTGTAAACTACAAACGCAAATGTATAATACAATAATAATAATTGATATTCAATTATGAGATAGCTTACAAGCATTGCGCTGGGTCAGAATCAGTTCGTAATCTCACAGTTATCCTTTCCGGTTGTCCATCTCCAGTCAGATGTGTATTTCTAGGCGTTTCCACGTCAATGGATATTTTTGCCCACACTACTTTTGATTTATAATAAATTTAACAAAAACTTATCTTTTGCTTAAACTAAGATATTTTATTACCCCATAGTGAAGAAAAACAGATAACGGCGTAGGAGATAATTAACCTATTCATTTCTCTGATCCCGTTCAGAAAGTGACGTGGTCAAACTCTGCCAGATCTGATTTCAAGATACTCAACATGAGCGGTTTTCCTTCACTAGTTGTAAACAAAAACATTGTTTTTTTAATAAAAAGTACAATTTATCTCGTTAATTTACGAACGTATATCCTTGACCTTTGGGTTTTAAGCCTCTGTATTTCTATCACCTATATAGATTATTTATTATGGAGAGAGGAGGAGAGAAAAAATTCAACAATTTAAAGTACAAGTCAATTGTTGGATGGCTTATTAAGTATTTATCAACCATTGCTTTTAATTCACAAATTGAATTGGTATAAATTTTAACAGAAAAATCTACTTTGCATCACAAAATATAGCTAAAAAAATTATATTTGATTAAGAAAACCTTCAATTTATAAAGTATATTGATATAGTAATATATTAATATATATCTGTAAGCATGAATATATGTATGTATGTATGTATCACCTCGTAGCTACATTTATATATTTAATTTCTACTTTTATTCAATTGAATATCTTGTTTTTTCTATTAAAAAAGATATTTATCATATCTATTATATATTGACAATAAACAGAACAAGAATTTCTGACGAATGAAGAGCAGTTTTTTCATAGAGAAATAACAGAAAAAGATAAATTCTATTTTCAACAGTTGCTATTTAAAATACTAGAAGGTTCTCTTTTTTTTTATTTCACTACGTAATAGGATGATATTCATTAAATTAAAAAAAAACATCCTACCTTTCTATTGTGTTTGTATAAACTCGTCGAACTGTAACTGCTTTTGCTTGCTATTACTTTGAGTGGATTAATATATAGACACAAATTTAGCTTATACTCTATCTGTGTTTAATAAACTGTCAAATATATAATTATTCATCCATCAGTAATCTACTTCTTTATAATAGGTGAAGCTGAATCATTACATTGATCAACATTCTTCTCAGTTAATATCATTAAATATTGTTATAAATCAAAAGAAATTGAAAAAGTATGTCTAACAATTGAATAGAATAAATATATTAGTATATATGTGTACTATGTATATTCGTTATTCAATACAAAGTATAGCAAGTACTATATATAATAATAAGGAAATAAAAATTAATACACAAAATTATAATCAAGCTTTTATTAATTTTATTAAAAGCTTGAATTTTTTAACAGAAGATATTTTATCATTTTTGCACTCTTCTTTCCTAAATTATTAATTAATTAATTAATTATTTTTACAAGTTAATTATGTTCAATTCAATATCTAAACCTTTCCATTACATTTGAATACTAAAAAAATCGGAAATAGCGCAATAATTAATTATTCATGAGGTATTTCGTTACTCCCACATCGTTTTATAGCTATATTTATATATATATATATATATGGGCGACTCAGTAGAGGGGAACTTTTCATAGGAGCAGTTCTTTCTCAAACTTTCCCGATTTCTTTTGTGATATTCGACAATTTTAAATCAAAAATATAAAGTGATAGAAATAGAAATTCTGAACATTACTTAAATCGTTGCTATAGCTATGTACCAAAAGACTTTAATTTGGACTCTTTTAGGAATAAATTTTATGTTTTCAGGTAGGTTGAACGGCCTTTTCATATACTTATCTATACATATACACAGTATATATATATATATATTTGTATATTTGTTATCTTAGATGTTTCATTTATTCTATACTATTGATTTTAATGTAGTAATAGAGCCATTCATAATCTCGTTAATAGTATTTTTCAATTAATTAACCATAATTTTTAATAATAAACACTTCAACAAAGATGATATAAAGCAACTTGTTCACCTTTTTTTAACAAGAATATGAATTATTTCTACTTAGAACAAAAAGGAAAAATGATAAATAAAAAAAATACTGTGGATAGATTTATTACTAAAAATTCAACTTTAGAAAAGGATAATCTACATATTCAACATTCGCTTCCATCAAATATAAAGCTTCTATGTTTGCTTCGACTCACCGACAATGTCATATTTTGCAAACAAAAACTTGCCGCATTATCGATTTTCATCGATCAAATCATTATGATCCATTAAATACTTTTTTTTATCAATTTTCAGTTAACTGCGAATGCCCAGCTGGTTTTACCCAAAGAAATTCATTTTGTTTTAATTTTCATACTGAAAAAGCTAATTGGCAAAGTGCTAATGAAATTTGCAGGCAAAATGGTGCAATGTTGATCGAGATGGACACGCAAGAAAAGATAGATAACTTTAAAAACTTATTTTCGAATGAAGATAATGAATTTTGGATTGGAGCAACGGGTTACTTTACCAATTGGATGAATTTATATAGTAAGTATATGAACTATACTTATTATTCTGTTGGCAAAAATGAACGCATATAAACTTTTGACCCTTCTTTTCTCTTTACTAAATCATTAAAAATTAATTAATTTCTTTTTCAAATATTAGCATAGGATCTATTCTCAAGAAAAAATTGACAATATGCAAATTAATTAATACAAGAATCTGTTATTTTTTGAAATATTTTCATTATAAAGTTAGCATTCATTTCAATTTTACAGACGGAAATTTTTTGAGAGATCAATCTTGTCATCACATATCTGAACATAGTTTCTATTTCAAGTCAAATTTCTCTCCTAGTGCTAGAAATAAGGATGATTGCGTGAATCAATGTAAACAAAATGGTTATTTTTACGCAGGCTATTACGTAAGTAGAAAATATAATCGATCAAGTCATCAATTACGAATAATGGCAATATTTAGTCAAAATAATATTATCTTATTTTAATATAGAATGATGGTGAATGCCATTGCGGCCATCGGAATTTCGCAGAGAGGCCCTATGTAGCAGACATATCCATGAGCCAATGCCTATCGAGCAGAACCAATGTATTCCATTTATTTATTGTTAATGGTAGACAATTGTTTTATATTTTTTTAAAACATAATCTTCTCATAAACTTTGTTACTTAAGATAGGATAATTTCATTTTTCAGGTGATTTCGTCAGATGGCGTAGTGGTCAGCCGAATGACAATCAGGGTTATCAAGAGTGCGCATTCTTTCAAAAGGATAATTCTGGTGTATTATCCGATGAAAAATGCAATAAGAACAAAAGATATATATGCGATTTACGTTCGTATTTAAATATTAACAGTATAATAATATTTTAATAAAGAAAATGACACTTCTATTTATAATATGTAGCTAAGGAACAATGTACAAACGAAGCTGATTCTTCAAAAACTATAAGAAATGATCGTTGCCTTCTACTTAGCCCTCACAATGGTGTTTAAAAACATAGAATACTATAGAATTCATTTAATATTCATCCTTTTCTACTATAGGCGGAATAACAACGTATTTTCAAGCTACAAATAAATGCTCTGGAAGAAATGGTAGATTGTTTGTACCTTTAGTCGATACAGATTATGAGGACTTGGTTGATTTATTAAATCGTGGAAGACATTCGGAAGCCTGGGTTGGAATAACTAGAAGAAAATGGATTTGGTCAACTAGTAAGAAAACAATGATTGAAAATATATGGTCAACAAATACGAATTGGTTAACAAAGTTCTTTAGAAAGAAGTGTATGTTAACTAAAAAAGAACAAAATAACGATTTAGCATGGTTAACTGACGATTGTGAAGTAAACAAGTCATTTGCTTGTGAATTTGGTTAGTAATTTTTAATAATTTTATATATTTCTTTATATATACAATATGTATAATAAAGAATAATTAATATCTTCGTCATTTCAAAGTCGAAGTAATTACTACTCAACAAACTACAACTGAAGATGTAGCAACTACTAAACTTTCTACAGAAGACGCTTCATCAACTGTTACAAGTTTTACTCAAAGTTCTACAGTGAACTATTCAATGTCCACCAATTATACACTTAATTATACGATAACCCAAAATGTGACTAGTGAAAATGTTACCCAAAATGCTACTCTAGTCAATACTACAGTAATTATGACAACACCTGTACAAACTACAGAGGAGAGAGTGGTAAATAGAAAATAAGGGCTTATTAATGTGAAGAGAGAATTTAATATTTTTTTCTATGTAATCTAGAGTACAGCTATTCAAACAACTTTCAAATCACCTGAACCGTTTAGTGGCAACAAAGATGACGAAGGAAATAATGTTAAATTAGTTGGTAAGGAGAAAACCAGCCACTCTGATCAGTTGCTTTGTTAAATAATATTTTTACTTTTCAGTTGCCATTATAGCCTCAGCTATTGCCGTAATACTTATTGTAACAATTGTTATAATCGTCATCATTAAACGGTAAAAAGTTTCTATTTAAAAGTATTGAGTCTTTTAATCCAATGGAAAATAAATTTTAGGAGAGATAAAGCACAAGAAGAGGATTGGCCGGAACCAATTCCAACTATATCATCTAATGGTGATTCAACACTATCAAACACTAATGTTATTGATACAGCTTAAATAAAATCCTTTTATAACATTGCGTTACCTAAATGTTACTACTCCGTGTGGGCGTTCAAGAACTTAATTTTTGCACATCCTTTAAGTAATATGAGCTTATTATGTCGTAAGCAAGTTTTAACAATAAATTACTTATGAGAATAAACATAACTAAAAGTTAACTGTATAATGAATTGAATTAGTTACTATGGACGAATGTAATTTAACCATTCTCTATTTCTTTTAGCTAATTGATCTAAAAGCTTTTTCACAAACTCTTTTAGAAGATGATATACCATCATATACCGTCACCGATTTCATCAACATCTGTTTAAGAATGGCAGATGTTTGAAATATTAAGTGTTGAACACTTTCTCCTCCTCTCTATTTTCCAACATACCTTCCTATTTAATTATTAATATTACAAATATAATATCTATTAAATATTTGAATAGAATTTACATAATAAATTAATAATTCTTATATGATATTTACACTCATTTAACGAAAGATATATATTGTATATACTGTATATATAGTTATTTAAGTGATATTTCTCCATTGTTCATTGGAAAATGGAGACATCTTTTAAAAGTAAAAAGTCATCTATTATACTTGTTATAATATTGAAAACCTTATTATTATACAGCTTCCATTCAAACACATCCAAATATTTATAAGTTTTACTTAACAATGTTCACTAAACGCTTTATTCAAACATTGTTCAAGTAAAAATAAAAATGTTCGTATATTGTTAACTAAAAAGTGTAATATTTGGATCAAAAATGGTCAATAACTACAATAAAAAATCTGAAAAGCGAATGAGTAATGGAAAAATTTGGCAATTGAATATATATAGAAGAATAATTCAATCTTTCTGAATATTCATAATTCTGTGAAAAATTTAATGTTAGAAAGAGTAAGAAATAAGTAAATTGATAAGAATATCATTATTATATACATTTCTTTAGCAGTTTTTTTTTCGTATAGGCTTAAAAATGTATGAATTACGTAATTAAATATAATCATTCGGTACTGTAATAAACTGTAATAATGGTTTGCTGTTCGTGTCATCTTTATTAACGCAGAAATAGTCTTAATACTCTTATTTTCTTCAAGCAAATTGAAAATCAATGCAATTTTAGTACAAGTGGGTTAATAGAGGCCTATTTGTATGACTAAATGGACACTTGTAAACATAACTTCAAAGCTCTTTAAGAGCAGTTCCGAGTAACGTAACAAACCTATCGTGTCTGGACCGACAAAATTAGATTTGAAAGTATATTTTACTATTTTTATTCAGAGATTATCTCTAAAATAATCAATAATAGTTTTGTAATCTAAAGTACAATGTTCAAACGCAAGATGTCACCTCGTTATAACAGGAAATAGACATCTGCGCATGCGCAATTTGAGCAAAAAAAACAGTACGATATTGTCGACCAATAAGATAAACATAGATAAATTTAGTCATTTTTGCATTGTCAACAGTAGAATGATGTCACAGGTAGCGACAGTGCCTCAGCCTCTGTTGCCTCCCTGTAGAGTCTGTGGTGAGAGAGCTAGTGGATTTCACTATGGGGTAAACACTTGCGAAGCCTGCAAAGGATTTTTTAGAAGAAGTCTACATAGAAAGGAGGATTATAAGTGTTCGAATGAAGGAAAATGCGTTATAGAACTGACAAATAGAAATTCATGTGCATCATGTAGATATAAGAAATGCATCGGAGTTGGAATGTCAAAAGACGGTTTGTTTAATTTGATTATTCTCTGTTCAAACAATTCAAAATAAATTATTAAAGGAAATTTAATTAATATAAAGAGACATTGCCTTTTCCTCCTGAAGAGTTAAAAAAACTCTCTTGATTGTAACTTTCAATGTGGCTATAGAATAATCGATAAAGTTGGTCTACTCAGAAAGAACAGGCTGTCTCAATAAACATTAATATAGTTATGCTCAATAGTGAATTTTAGAGGTACCCAACGAGTTTAAAATATCGAAGACACCGTATTAGCTCAGGTTTTAGATAACCTTAAAAAACTCTGATTATAGTCCTTTATCAATGATTTATCTAGATTGCGTATCTGAAATATGAATTCATTAAAGGAGAAAATACACTTTACACTTGATGGCTTTACCGAACTTTATTGCATTTATTGCAAGGGTTTAATAGGTTACCTAGAAATTAACCTCAAATAGAATGATTAGATATAAGTAAATAAGCAAAGTAGTCTTATATATATTGTTATTGTTATTCAACAGCTATCAAGACGGGGCGTTACACTCATGAAAAGAAAACAAAAGATATAGAAGAAATAAAAAGAATTCAACGTCAAGTAGAATTGAAACAAGATCAAATTGAAAATATTGTTAATCAAATTACAGCTGTTCATTTACAACAAACACCATATACAGCTGAATTTTACAAAAAAATACCTGAATTAGAAGAAAGATACCTTGTTAGTATTGAAATTTATTTTTATATATTAGAGATAATAAGAAAAGCATTTAGATATCTCTGTCTATTGATACCTTTATAACTTAATGAAGTAAATATCCATCTGTCGCATAAAAATATTATAATTTTACATAAATGTACCATCATTTCCCACATATCATATATATTGAAATGACCATTGTTGTAAAAACAGGAACGCAGACAAATAAAAGAACAGATGTTCGGACCTTTAAAAAATCTATCTAAAGAAGAATATATGCAAATTTATCATTCAACTGGCATAGATGTTGATGGTAGACGGGAAATGATAACTCACATGCTACCATCATTAGAATTAGCAATAAAAAGATTCATTAATTTCGCTAAAGCCGTACCTGGATTTAAGGAACTTCCTATAGAAGATCAGATAGCTTTAATTAAAAGTAAGTTTTTCTATTTCTTAAAATAACTTCGGGTGGGACGGAATCTTGTATCTGAGAGATCGAATCTGCTATCAGTGAAAAATTTTACAATATTATAATTAAAATATATTATTTAATCATTTCACTAATTAATCTGGTATATTTGTTGTGTAAATTAGGTAATTAATGTATTTATTTGATAAAGATTTAAATTAATTTTATGTGAAGTAAAATTTTAAATTCTTCATTTATATTATTCTGATTGATTCTATCAAAAAGGTACAACAACTATGTTTCTTTTATTTTTGTACTGTCCCATCTCGATTTAAACAAATATGAAACTACCCTACTTGAAACTGAAAAAAAAAACAACCAAAAAAAACTTGCCTTCTCTTCTTCCTTAGCATCTTGGTATGCTGCTTGGATGATTGATGCTAAACACTCGGTTAACGCGGATTTGACTATATTCTTAGATCCTAGTACATACGAAGCTTATGATATTGATGAAATAAGGAGAATTGAAGATGATGAAGCAATGGAAGAGGGAATGAAATTTTTGAAAAATTTGATAAAACTTGACTTAAGTGTGGAAGAAAACTGCACTTTACTTGGCCTAGTTCTCGTCATAGGCACAGGTTTTCAAAGATTTTTTAATCATTTTTAAACACAAACACAAAAACCCACTTAGTATCTACTATTTTATTATTTATACTCGCTAGTAAGACAGTTGTCAGATGGCGCAGCTTTGTCTGTCTATGGGAACGCCATCTATCGATAATCATACTTGTAATAACTTATTATATCAATTAAATAGCTACATAGCTAAACGAAATGAATATTAATTTGATAAGCAACATAATTGATATTCAACTCGTTTTACTCTAATTGAGCACGACAGTATGCTAAAAAGGCTAACTGTACACTGAAAGCAAACGCGTCTTAATTTTTTTTACTCATAGATCAGTTTGGCTCGTTGCCTGGCTAATTAAAGATCTTCTCGCCTTTCCCTAAAGAAGATAAGCTAACCCTAATCCCCGACTTATAACAATAACATTAACAATTAAAGAAAATATTTAACACTGCTCATAATTCACATTAGAAAATCTTATAAAACAACAACAAACAAAAAACCCACACGAAAACAACTAATCAGAAACGTTCACAGATGATCTACAACTCTCAAAGAAGGATCAAGTGTGTGAAATTAGAAGCAATTTCATTGAATGTTTGGAGTACGTGTCAAAGTTACAACGACCAAACGAGCCATTGAGAAGTGCTCATATCCTACAATTATTAGCTCCTGTTCGCTGTCTTCACTACTACTGTAGCCGTGAAAAAACTCTAAATATGCTCGATAACTTATTTCCAGAGTTAAAATGGGGTGAAATTTTAGGACCTCTGCTATTCAATCAGTGACAAACTTATATTACGGAAGGGAGGGCGGGAAAGTGGTGGAAACTTGCTATGATTATTTATTATTAAAATAGTCGCAAGTATATTCTACTCAGTGTAAGACAGTTTATTACTACATTTAAATCAATATATATTTCAAAAATTCCGTGTTCAAATAGTACAATACGAAAATAATCTCTATACTTTTTTTAAGTCTAAAATGCATCAATTATCTTTTGTTTGTTATTATTATTATTATTATTTGTTTACGTTTTCTTTTCGTCATTAAACCCGAACAAAAAAGTTTTCAGTTATTAGTACAAATTTATTCATAAATACAATTTTTTTTTCTTTATTAACTAATGAAAAAAAAATTACGTTGCTGATTAAATACTGCAAAACTATGTATCAGTTGGGATTTCTCTTTTTCTTTCTATGTCTGTCTGTTTTCTCTCTCTCTCTCTCTCTCTCTCAAAAAAATATTGCTATATACTAAATATTTCTTCATATATATGTATATATATATATATATATATATATATATATATATATTATATTACTATAATCATTATTTTATCTTTCTAGATTCAAAATGGGATATTTGGTTAATTTCAAGTTACAAATGCTTTAATAATGAAAAATATTTATATACTACAACGTGTGGACATACTGTACACATTGATGATGTTATGAAGGTATACTAGTTCTCTTGTTTAAAGCTGTGAATAATTAAACTTATATACCATTCATAAAAGGTTCAAAATCCAGAATATTTGGAAAGTGTCTTTCAGTTAAGTATGAAGTTTAAATCTTTCAATCTGACTACAGAAGAAGAATGTATGCTGAAAGCTTCATGTTTGTTATCATCAGATAGATGTTTTTCATATAGTATCCACATTTCAAACCGAATTTCCGATGCTCAATTCTGTATATATCTATGTTTGGAATATTTACTCCTCAAGCGATATCCGAAGGCTGAAGTACCAATTATTATAGCAAAACTTATTCGTTTGCTGACGAGAATGAGATCAGTTGGCCACATGTATCGGTCAGAAGAGAAACAAATGGTTTCTGATTACCCCGATATTGAATTTCCAGCAATTTTTAGAGAAATGTGGATGAGTTAGATGCAAATTTCATAATAGAAATGCTACAAAGGAAACTCAGTTTACTATATTCCAAATTAGTAAACAAAAATACAAACAACAATTTACTTGACATAGTTTATTTTTATTATTTTTACTGAAATTTCTATATTCATTTTTAAAAAGTATTGATAAATAATATCTTTTGTTTTATATTTCAAAATGTACACTATAAAATGTTCTTGAATGGATTATCTTTAACTATATATTAGGAATCTTATGATAAAGTCTTATTATTATCATCAATAATAATAATAAATATATATATATATATGTTTGTTAACTTGATGTAAATTTTAACAATTCTTTGGAAATGGAATAATTTTATTTCATATTGTTGATATTATGCCATCAAATTTTGTGGTTGCATAAATGTATTGTTTATTTGTTGCTCTTTATCTTTTTTCGTTTGACTTCTTTTATTTCTATCTTTCCGTCAATCATCTTTTTCTTTTATAAGCCTTCACAACTGCACTCTAGATATTATTGTTAACTTGAAATGTTTGCTTATACAATAACCAACAAAGAGAGTGATGATAAATGATTCAAACTTACAAAAAACTTGAGTTTGAAAAAATGTTAAAAGTACAAACAATAAAAAATAATAAATAACAAACAGATCGATTGTTTTTCAACCTACTTTTCATCAATTAACTACGATGGTAACAAATTTGATTTTTGTCCCCTAGATGTCCAATGTACAGTAGATGTCTCTGCCCGTTTATAATTTACTTTCGATTGCTATCTTTGCAGTCAACTGCAAACAAAAAGTAGCTTTGGGAAATCGACTGTAAAAGACTCCTTTTACGAAACAAAACTCTACTAAATGAAAATTTATAAGCTCCTCTGTAGAAGATAATAGGTTAGTATTGTTGGCTTTTTATGGATGGTTAGACAAATTCGCGGTACGCATGCGCACTTAAGGGAAAAAGATTGATGTTATAGGAAGATTTGAAAAATTTCTAATCTCTGGGCTGTAGTGTAACGAAAAAAAACCAGGAAGAGAAAGAGGGGTACAAGAAAGACGATCTCATTACACAGAAACTGTCAATTTTCCTCTAGTCGTTTATTTCTTAAGTAGCTTACATAACGGTGAGAAACCAAAATAAACGGCACTTTTGCTATGGAAAGAGACAGACTTACTGGGAAGAGGTCTGGAAATGATATCCTGGTTTATTTCTAAAATAAAATACGCTCATAGCAAATTAAATGTTTACTCTTAACTGTGTACAGTTAATTAGGTGTAATTTGTCGTTTATTCTATACTTATAGGCGTAGTAACAAAATTGCACAAACTATGTTCATGGGAAGGTTTGTTAGACAAGAAAACCTTTGTATATCCAGTGGTATGTTTCATGTCAAAAGCCCGCACTTTTTCAGGTGAAACGTTGCCTTTCCCCCAGATAAACTATACAGGCATCATTCATTAAAAGTACGTAGAGTGTAGTATCTAAAAGTGATCCTTCTTGAAGATCAGCGTTCCTTATTACTGAATAAAAAGTACTTAGATTATACGAAAACGAACTATAGATTGCACGAACAAAATCATTCTTTTTTTTTAATATATATATTTATTTTAATAAACGAAATTATTCCTCTTTTTGATTTTGGACGGATGCAAAAAAGGAAAAACTACTAAAAAGATGAATCATTAATCTTTTTAGGAGGAAGCAGGGAGGGAGTGAGAGTGAGTAAGTGTTTATAAGAGGGATACAGGAAAGGAGCGAGGTAGAGAAATTTCTACCAGCTTATCTCTTCTTTCTCCTTTAAAATCTTTATATATAATTTATATAAAAGATATATACAGTATATATATTCTATCTACTAAATTTAACGTTATATACATATACTATTACGGGTTCGTGAGAATGTTACTGCGGAACAACTTAGCAGGTGCTAATGACAGTAGAGTTCGGGATGTGCCAATCATGCCGTCAACTTAATTACGTCACAATTACGTCACGAAAACTTGCTCTTTCTTAAAGGCTATTGGTAAATTTAAACGATTGCCTAAGGGTATACAAAAGGAATTTTATACTCAATTAGTCGAAATTTTAACTTATAATTTATTTTAGCGTATTATCAAGATATAAAAGAAAAATGAAATAATGTTAACAAAGACAAAAAAAAATTTATTCCCACTTTTTTTTTTTAATTAAACAAAAAAACATTAATTGCTCGAGGGAAGTTTTAAAATATAATTTAGGGGAAAATAATATTGATAGTGTAACTCTGACCTTTAACACAGATTTAGACAGATAGAGCATTTCATATTTATTACTTTCTTATATAAAAGAAATAAACGCCATTTTGAATTCCCGCAAGCGGCGTCGATTATTCAAGTAATGAAAGAAGATAAATTAAATTATTATATCCACCTTACCTCTTTATAAAATGAGCAGATTTCAATATGTCCGCCCATTTAGCTATAATGAGAGATCGTAAAGAAGATTTTTTGCCATTACACCATCTGTCATTCTAGGTAAAAGTGATATTAAATTTCTTTAGAATATTTATCAGTTAGTATAAAAAAAGGATCGATTATGGACAGTAGAAATTAATATCTTATAGGAAAGGATAGGGGTTCTTTATAAGTGCTTAAAGCGATTTTCGCCCATTTCTTCCAGTGTTTTTTGCAACGGATTTCAATTTATGATATACTAACTTTCTAAATAGCCGTATTAATATCCTACTATGTTGCACGGGGACAAAAAGGGGCGTTACTTTCATCAGACTCCTCCATCATCACTTTAATGACTGCTTTTTCCATGAAAAAGTTCAACATAATTAAATATCCATATATAATTCCAGGTGATAAGCAACGACATTGTAATGCAAATTGAGAAAATGAAGCGTTTGAGAATGGCAAATTATTCCAGCAATTATGCGAGATTTCACGCATCCCTAAATCTTATTTTTATACACAGATTCTTATCAATATCTTATCTAGATTGCTGCAGAAAGATAAGATTGCGTGATATAGCTAGTTGACAGTAATGCCGAAAATTATATACCGTTCAAAAGAGCATGAATATAATCGGAAAATGAGCTAGTTGGCGCATCAAAAATTTTCTATTCAATCAAACTTCTTGTCATTCTAATTACAGTTTTTTCAATATTCACTCACGTGCCCTCCCTTTACAAACCCATATTTGCGTGAAATGCCTTACACGTGAGCTCAAGATGGCGGATTTTCAGACACGCGCGATCTTTTTCCCACACACAGACATTCTCCCAAACACGATCCTCATTTCATATTTTCTTGGAAATTCATTATTGCCATATACAAAGTTAAACTTTCTTTTATCTCTAATTTCCTTTTTTACATCCCTTTCATTCTCTCTCTATTTTTTACCTCTAAAAGACTGATTTATTACGAGTTGAAAAGTGTGAAGGATCAAGGTGCCTTCCCCGAAGCGACGCGCATAAATCACGATGTAGTATTAAAGTATAGTCTATTGTTAAAGATTCTGTACTTGTTTATTCTCAACCATTTGTCGGGCGCGTGCCTTCCTTTGTAAACCTTCCGCTCGATCGACTTAAGGCGTTATGCGGTCAGGTGAAAAAATGACGAGACCTCGATGTGTCACGGGACGCATCTGCGCCATTTTTTTCTTAGAGACTTAACTGTTTGGTCTTTGCTTTTTTTGTGCACAGCTTCACCTTCTCCTTTCTCTTTTTAGAGTATTTTGATGATTTTTCTCGTCTCTTCTCTTTATTTTACCCCCGCAAAGCTCGCCCCTATAACACAAGTACTTTCCTCCTCCACTCTTTCATTCAATAGTTTCCTTTATTATCACTAATTACGACTAATAGCTTTAAAATACTTATTAAAAACGGTATGAGTGAAAAAAATAAACTTTACACGGTTATATTATATTATATTACATTAGAATGTTTTTGAAGAACGCCATTTTAATTGGTGAGTTGTTTGTGGACAGATGTTGTTGAATAATTCCTTTGTTATCACCTTGACATTTAGAGAAGTTTGGAGTTTAGTTACGCCTTCACTTTTTCTAATTATTTTCCCATTAAACAACTAGCTTTGCTTTGAACAGTTGTTATGTTTGTTTGTGTTTATGTTTACACTGATACTGACAAAAGATATAATACAGGCGTCCACTTATTTATAGTAACTATGTCTATTGTTGAAATGTATTCAACTGTTATATCTGTTGGATTGCTTGCCTAACTCTCTCGTTAGTTTTTTGATGTACACTATTACACAATCAACTTTTTATTACATTGATGTGTATTTTGCATTTGAAACCTATTCATTAGGATGCAAGATATATAACTGAACTCCCTTTTCCTTTTATGATTTTGTTACGTGATCAATTTGCAACCTCTTTTTCCTTCAATTTATAAGTACTTATTCTTAACTCACTTCTTTTTTTATAGGATAATTTAATCTGTTAAAATTGCATATGCACCATAAAAGCAACTCGTGTAAAGATAATTATTTCAATAACTTCAAAGCTAACTAAATTTCTTTTTATACCTAATTACCTAATCATAATAAAGAATAAAGGTAAATTTCTCAATAGTAGACGGACAAATTTTCTTTCAATTCTTAGTTTAACATATAAAAATACATGCTATCATTTATTCACACCAGGCCTGTCAGATAAATAGGCCAAGTGTGTATACTTAAAACCTGTATAGGTATCCCAGGACAATAATATACAGAACAGAACAATTGATGATTTTTATAATACGTTCTAGTATATCCTTCAAAAATGTTAACTTTTGGGTTTTTCCTCTTTTTTATTTATTTTTAAACGACCACTCGAAAAAGAAAAAAGAGAGAATACATTTAAATAGAAGGTAAAGGTTTTTCTTTTCGTAATCCATCTATTAAATAAAAGAAAGATTCTCTTATAAAAAATTACTATATTGACGATTACGAAGATAAAAAAGAAGCAAAAGTAAAAAGATGTATAATACAAGAGAACAACTGTTTACCTAAGACTTCAGTGTCACTTTGCTTTGCAAATGATTTTTGTATCCAGAGCTTGCGTAGGTACACAGAATTAATTTTACAGAGAAAACCCCAGGGAACAACTGTTTACTTACGAATTTGTAATATATTTTATGAAAAATTCCATGAACAAACATAATAAAGCGCAATATTGTTTAGATTAATTGTTCTTGTATACAGATCCTTTACGTAAACATAATATTTGAAAAGACGCAGGAAGTGAGTATCGAGATAATGAATATTAATGAGCTATCTACG